GGTAGGAGCACATAGAACAGCTGGGCTTCATGCTACCTGTACATGCTACATACAGATAGCATGTACTGTCAGAAGGATGCGAGCCTTATCAGGTTAAGAGGTGAGTGCAGACAGGGGTGATGCACACCTACAACATGTATTTTATTGCTAAGGGACATGTTAAAAGTCCCCTAGAGCTGTGATGCAGCTTGGAGCAAGCCTTTGGTGTACAGAAGTAATGTGAGCAGCATTGGTCAGGATGCCCTTTGCTTTCCACAGGATCCACCAGCTTCCCAGGAAGCGATGGATCAGGCTCTGTATAGGTTTGACTTCCCACCCTCCTGAGCTGTTTCATCTCACCAGTGGACCCAGCAGCTCAGCCACACACTGTGCTTTAGTTTCTGCTTTAGACAGGACTCCCCCTTTCTCCATCATTGCTTGGGAGAAGACAACTCTGCTGTCAACATGGCAGAAGGGATGCAAAGCCAGCTTATCCCTAAGGGCAGACTGGGCTACACATTGCCTTCAGGATCATGTTCTGGGATCATGTTCTGGACATCTCAGCATCCAGAGCTTCACTGTGGTGCCTACACAGGCAGAAAATCCCCACCCTGGGATGATCCCACACATCCAGACCCCAGGAGGGGTGAACTCTCAGCTTTCCTGCCTGGCTCCAGTGTTTCCTGACTTCAGGAGAGGTTTGTGAGCTTTGTCTGCAGGCGCCTGCGCACGTGTGGTGGCATGTAGGGGGAGATAGCATCTCTCTGGGGTTTGGCCCCAAGGTGCTGGAAGGAGTGCATGAAGGTGAAAACCCAGCCTGGTGTTGGACACTGAGCACAGTATACGTCAGGACTGGCCTTTTGGGGTTACCAGGGCAAGATTTCCCCACCACAGACTTCACCTTAAGACCAATCCCTTCAGCCTAACACAGGAAAACATTTCACACCTGCTCGAGTGCTTTCAAGCCTCTGGGATGCTTTCCCGGGGTAGGGCTGCATGGAAAGCCCTGAGGCTGTGTCTATCCCAGCAAATTAAACAGTTCCCGGGTTCAGACACCAATTATCCTCTCTGTTAAATTATTAACACTCACCCAAGTAATTCCCAGGCATGGCTCAGGAGCGTGCTTGGCCCTAGACCCTTCCCAATAGGCAGGTTGGATGTGGACACCCTGTTTTGGCAGGCTGGGGAGGTCAGTTCAATGGGCAAAGACTTGTTCTTGGTCAGATGGCCTCGAAGCTGGAGGATGATCCCAAACACTTTCATTATGTTGGTACGGATGTAGCCTCAGTGCTTCTGCAGCTCAGACATGAGCAACCAGGCTCAAACCTACAGCTCCGGTCTTTACAGCTTGGACAGTTACCAACCATGCAGCCGTGAATACCTCAGTGATAGTAATTAATTCTAATTGCAGCCATTCATATTAATTTACAGTAGCATCACTTTTAATTATTTTTCTTTATCCAAGATTCTTATTTTTGCTGATGAAGGGTCATGTCTGCAGCAGCTGATACTGTCACTGGGGAAGGCCTAATTCCTGACAGCAAAGACAAAAAGCCCTCATCTTTCCATCAACTGGTGGGGCACAGTTGGCTCTTCCCATGCTTCCCACCCACCAAAACCTGGGACCCAGCAGTGCGTGTATCAACTGGCACAGGAGAAATCTCCGTCGCCATCCGAGGCTGCCCGGGCTGTCTGCTCCTCTTCTTCCCATGCCATTCCTCATAAAACCCTCGTGCTTACACGGCACTTTGGATCTGCCTGTCTGCCGGCGAGGTGGGACGGGCGGGCGGGATTTGCATGCTGGAATTTCGCCGAGGAAGTTCCTCACTGCAGAGGGGACTGAATTCTTCCTGGATTTTTGGCTTTTCTTCCTTGTTTTTTGGTTTATTGTACTTATGTTTGTTTTCCTGGTCATCCAGTGGACAGTCTTTTATGATTCCCCCCTCCAAGGACTACTAGAAAGCAGGTGAATGTGACGTGGGACATCCTTAACCCCGGAGTCACCCTGACCCTGTTCCCGTATAGATAAGCCGATGACTAAAGTATGTCTTGGGCTTTGAGACACACCTTAGTTGCTTGGCTTCCTTCTAGATGTTTTTTTTAAGGCTGCTTTCCCCACTCCATTGGGAAAACTGCACCCAAGGAAAGCTGAGTGCATCTGCATCTGGGTAATGCTGTGCCCAGGTAGAGCTGGGAAGAACTGATGCTCACAGAGGATCTATTTGCCTCATCAAAAAGTGACGGGAAATGGAATGTGTGAACTTAGTTCTGCTGGGCACGGCCCAAGCATCCAGCCCCCCTCTCCAGCTTGGTGCTGTTGGGACCTCTGAGCCCAAATCTGTGGGCTGCAGTGCTGGAAGGACACAGACTGGTTGGAGGCAGTCTGGTGCTGGGATGCAAAAGAGACTGGAGGACTGGAAATCATGGAAAAGGAAGGAAGATCAAAAGGGTTGCAGTTGTTTAGTTTAGGAAATCTATATAATAGTCTACAAATATGTAACAGGCTTCTGGAAAGAGGAAGGGAATGAACTGTTCTCCTTGTTCACCAGGAATGGGACAGGAGGTAATTGGCTTAAATTACATCCAGAGAGGTTGAAGTTACGAGGAACATTCCACTATGGTGAGGACAGGGATTTGTGTTGGGGGCTGTAGCAGCGCAGTGTCTCCATCCGTGGAGGTTTGAGAAGAGGGAGGACCAATGGTTTGTGCTGGAGTGGATGCTGCATGGGAACCTCTGCGTGGATCTGGAATCAGCAATGGGCTGAATGCCGTGACAGGAAAATGCACCTGGAGGGATTTGAACTGTGCTCAGCACTGTGGAGAAGGCAGCTCAGGTCTTCCCAGCTTTGGGGTTAAGAGGTATTGGGAGCTTCTGCCTTGTCAATAGTAAGGATGCAAGCTGGTTCATCAAAACAATCTGGTAACAGAGTGGTTTTAAACACTGCTTTAAGGTTTTCTTTCTTGTTTGCTCAAACCCAGATCATGTCAATAATCTTGTGGCTAATTCAGTTGGGAACAGGCGCTCTTAAAGCAGTTGTGCTGCTGCACACACAGCAGCATCCTCATCCCCTCTTCCCTCGAGTCGCCAGCAACATGCATTTTTATTTGACAAAATTAGGAACTAAGCAGTTTACTGCACTGCTTATGACATCTGGGGCTCCCTGAATGAGATTGCCCTTGGGATCCTTCCAGCCTTAGACCAGTAACATAAATGAGGGTTTTGCCTGTTCCCAGTAAGTGAGTTCCAGCTTAACACTGGGGAAGATTCAGCTTCCAAACTCCCACATGTAAAAGCAGAGATGCAATTCAGCTGCAGATATGAGGCCAGTACCAGTTTTAGAGAGCTGGGGAGTCCTCCAGCTGTTCTTCAAGGACAATGCAACTCTCCCAAAGGTGCTGAGCTCTTATCATCAGCTCCATATGGACATCTCAGATACCCTGAGCACCTCAAACACCACTTTGTACTTCTCTGTGGGCAACTGAGATTTGCCTTAACAATATAGTTTGTGGAGTCAATGCAATGGGGAGTTATCACCTGACCAAGAGTAGGTTGGCATGAGCCAAAGACCACCATATACAGGGAAATATCCCAGAAAGTAGAATAAGGAGGAGTTTGCTCTTATCTGCTGCAATGCCCGTGACTATGCTCACCCATAAGGCAGCAGGACCTGAGCATGGGATGTAGAGAGCCATCCCAGATGTTGTGTAGCACATAGAGTGTACCACAGAGCACGTTGGATTTCTGAGCAAGGTGCACCCACGCTGGCACAGAGTTGCACCGTGGTTGGGGAGGTTGCTGGGACTGCCAGCAGGAGCATGACCATGGGGATGAAGGTCAGTCTTGGTTGGAGATATCTACTCCCAGCTCTTTATGCATTGTCTGCCTTTGTTCAAACATGCTCCTCCATTGGCAAACAGGAAAAGAGAAGGAAGAAAGTAATGCTGCTTGGGGCTGGGAGTGGAAAACTGCTGTGGTTCATTAGAGCTGCTCTGTGCTGGGGTGGGAGGGAAGGTAGCAAACAAGAATAAGCTTTCAGATGATTAGGGCCTGGAGCCCAAGTGTGATGGGGAAGGGCTGAGGGACCTGGGGGGTTCAGTGTGGAGAAGAGAAGGCTCAGGGGGGGACCTGATGGCTGCCTCCAACTGCCTGACAGGAGGATGGAGCCAGGAGGGGCTGGGCTCTGCTCCCAAGGAACAAGGGATGGGACAAGAGGAACCGGCCTCAAGCTGCACCAGGGCAGGTTTAGATGGAGCTGAGGACCAATTCCTGCCCCAGAGGGTGCTCAGGCATTGGAACAGGCTGCCCAGGGCAGGGCTGCAGTCACTGTCCCTGGAGGTATTTAAAAGACATGTAGATGTGGCCCCTAGTGACATGGTTTAGTCCTGGCTCTGGCAGTGCTGGATTAATGGTTGGACTTGATCATCTTCAAGGTCTTTTCCAACACGGGTGATTCTGTGATTCTATGCATTGAATAATGACTAACATGGAAGCAGCTGAACACCCTTGTATGCATCTTTTCTGCAGCATTTAACAAGACAGTGGGATGCTGAAACCAGCTCCAGTCACAAGGGCAGATGAGCTGTAAGAGAAAGGAATTTGTTTGCCCTTTCCCATTTCGTGACCCCTGTGTTGTGCCTTAGGAAGTAACAGTATTTTCTGAAAGCATCTTCTCCGAGTGGAGTTAGACATGTTTTCAAGTGTGTGAACCTTCCTGCAGGTCCAGAATAGAGCACACTTCAAGCCAGGTCCTGGCCGAGGATGACTGTGACTTAATGATGTCAGTTGGGCAATTAGGCAAGAGAGGTGGTTGTCAGGCAGAACAGTAGGTTACGGAGGGCAGAGGTGGTATGGTTGTTAATCCCATAAAACAGAGAGAAAATAGAGGCAATAACTGCCTGTGAAGCAGAAAAGCTGCTGTTGGGGAAGCCTGTAAAACGCTGTGAGAGCAGCACTGCTCTTCAATCCATCATCTTTAGTGCCAGCAGTCACAAGCTCTGTTCTTGGGTTTTTTTGTTTCCAGGGTTTTTTTGCTAATGGTGAACAAGGCTGAGATATGAGTGGGGATGGTGAAGCAGAGGGGACTGTGGTGCTTCTCATGGTGGCCAGAGCAGGAGCTGGTTCTCCTTTGGTCACACAGGGGCTAAAAGGGAAAGAATCGCCCCTTCCTCCACACTGTGTCACCTCTTGCTGGGGCTGGTGGCTGGTGAGTGACTTAGGACCAAGGTCTCTGTTCATTGAATAAGTACTTGACTGGCTCCCAGGAGCATCCTTCATGGGAAGAGGTAGAAGAGCATCCAGTGACAACTGTGTGATATCCCCAGAGATGACTGTGTGACATCCCTGAGCACAGCAGGAGGTGGCTCTGTTCCTCATAGTCCCAGAAGGGCTCATGGAGGGCTTTGAAGGAGGGGATCTTTCTGCATATCCATGGTAGGCAGTCTTGAGCAGGGCAGGGAAGGCGAAGTACCTCTCCCAAAGCAGAAGCAGGCCTCTAAGCACCTAATGCACGTAGGTAAAGTGGAGACTGGTGATGGGGGCTGAGCTTTCAGGCCAGGTAGCACCCCTTTAAGATATTCAAGCGAGATACCACCCATTTCATCTTCTGCCTAATGGGGTTCCTGTCCTCTTTCATCTGCTTCCACTGATGGGTATCTCATGACATTCATTTGCCTTTTCCTTCACTCTCCCCTTGCTGCCCACTCTTTTCCTGGAAGAAAGAGAAAAGGGGAATACCCCCCACATCCCATTTTTCCTTTGGCTGAGGGCAGATGCTGAGTGGGATCCCACCACCCTGCAATGCTTCCAAGCCTGGTGGTGGGACATGCATGTGCGGGCAGGGAAGCCAGGGAAAGGAACAGTAGCTTTTTCTCTTCCCGGCGACGCCGACGTGGTGATCAGAGGAGCTGGCCAGAGTCCTAATGAAGATAAATGAATATCCCCTCTCCTCCGCTGCTCCAGCTTTTATTGATGGGCTGTGGGGTGAAAGGCGAGAGCCTGAATGTTCATTTAAGCAGACGTCACGAGTTTCTTTGGAGGGGAAGGTGTAAGAAAAACCGCCTTGTGCTTGAAAGTTACTCCAAGATGAGCACGCTCGGCTTTACAAGCCTTTCTCCATTCCTTCCCCATCCATCACTTCCCGGGACCCCTTTGTAAATGCAAATTGCACTTTGATAGAAATAATGCACTGAGCCTCTATTAGTGTCTGCGTAATGGAGAGGGCTATTTTAATGCAATCATTCTTAAAAGAAGCTCCTCTGGGCCTTAGTTTAGGCTGTGTATCAAAAACCAATCTGAAAACATGCTCCTCCCCTGCCCTCCGCTCCCTCCCGCCTCTGACTTTTCCAGGCGCTGGGATGCTTTTCATTCGGGATTTTTTGGGGGTTCATGGAGCAGCCTTGGGATTTGACATGTGAATGAGAGCTCAGGCCGACACCTCATCTGACCTGGTCCCCAGGACAAGGCTTGGTGTTCCAGGCTGGGACACCTGGACCGTGGGATGATGAACATACTGGTGGTGACCATGGGATGATGATGGTGAACATAATGGAGGGACAACCCGCACCCTTCAGAGATTGCCATCTGGGGAAGGTTCAGCTGTGATTTTTATGGGTATGAGGTGCCTCATTCCCTGGAACTGCTTCTTCCCAGTCTCTCTTATGTGCTTTCTATCAGGAGGAAGCTTGTTCAGTCCCAGCTATAAACATCACATGTGTGAGATTCGCAGAGCAGCCCCTGGGATCCCTGATGTGTTTGTGCACTCGGCAAACTGATGTTCTCATGTCCCAGCCTGATCTCTCCCTCCCAGGGTGTGCAGCGGCAGCTCCAGCACTGAAATCAGTTTAAGCTGCTTTAAAAAGAGGAAAAAAAGCAATGATTTAAGCCATTGAGATCCCCCTCCACACACACACTTTGGGAGGTCAGGAAAAAAAAACCTGCTTTGAACTGTTTAAAAACAAATCTGAGGCATCATTCATCTTCATTAATGAGATATTTAACCAGTCCCTTTTAATAACTTCTTGATGCACATGCCAAATGCAAAAACATATTTTGGTCTCATTTTCTGCTTAAGAAGCCATTATTTTGGTCTCATTTTCTGATTAAAAGACCATTATGCTCCATGCTCCTTCTCTCCTTAACCCCTAAATCCTGCTTTTCGTATCCTGATATCATCATCACGCTCCCTCGGACCCGCACAGGGTCCTCTGTGTGCACCACTGTGATTTATGCTACTGAGGGTCTCCTCACAAGTCAGGGATAGGAGGTGACTTCTACCACTTCTCCTGGGTCTTCCACAGCACTGCTGTGCAGGATTGAATCTCTTGGAGATGTTAATCCCGGTGGATCAGTCTGTCAGCCTCCTCCTACTGTTTGGGTATGAATTATACTCGATGCTGGAGTGGATTTTCTCCCATTGCTGCAATCAAAGCGATTCAGTAGCATGAATTAGAAGCCCCTTCCCAAAGGATAGCTCCAAAAGTGTGGTCCTCCAGCACCTTCCCGTGGGAGAGGAGCTATTTAGTGCCAGGCAGAAACATCAGAGCAAGCCACAGAGTGGTTCTTCTGAACTCTGGGGTGGGGACAGCCACTTTTTGGGGGTCCCAACAAGAAAGATATAGGGAAAGAAAAGTCCTTTCATAGATCAGAGAAGCGGCATGGAGAACAAAGGGAGGAAACATAGAAAGCACAAGGGGGTATTTTCCTGTTTCTCGAAGAGCAGAAGAGGAATGGGGAAGGCAGCGTCGTTAAAGTGAAATCCCTGACTGGAATGACAAAAGCAAAAGAAATTAAAGCCAGATTTGTTCCTCTGGGCTGAAGGAAGGAGGATCCCTTTTAGTTTGTTCCTTCTTTCTTGTTTCCTTTAAAGACAGGAGATCAATTGCGGGGCTTAATGAGAACCGTCTAGTGTGAGAGGTAGACAATGAGAGAAGGAGAAATAGTCCAGCGTCCTGGAGATTTTACAGCAGTTTTGAGCATTGGGATCCATCCCTGGAAGCCACAACCCATCTCTGGGATGTTGCATTGTGCATTGTGAGCATCATGTGGTGCTAGGCCTGAGTGGGGACCACCGGTGCAAATCCCCATCCATCATCCTTGTGTTCATGGGTCCATCCTCTGGTGCACACACATTAAGAGTTGGTGATGCAGACACAAGGTGTTTGTGGTCAGTTGTGCCACATCCTTTGGGGCTGCCACAGTAGCGATGGCAATCACAGACATGTTCCCCATGAGCTGCACATAGAGTTGCTGCCCATGATCCGTCATTAGGATCTTCCTTATCCTCCTCATTAGGAGGCTCCAATGTAGAAGCTCCAAGTGTAGGAAGCTTTAGGGCACTGATTTCATGTTGTAGGTATTCTTGGGTGAGGAGTTTACCAACAGCTAAGGAGGACTTGTTGGGATGCTACTGAGATGTCCCTTTGGAGAAAGAGGTGAGCTCCTCCTGGGGAAACCTCTCTGGGAAGGTGTCCCATAGAGCATCTCAGCATTCCTGGAGACCTTCAAAAGAGATAGAGGATGCTTGCAGATGCAAATAAACCTGCTCTTTGCGTGCTAAACTTATGCCAACACAGATACCCCATCTCTCCTAGGTTTAAATCCCATTGCTCATCAGAAGGCAAGGAGGGGAATAAAATCCCTGATCATTCCCCTCCTCATCCTAGGAATGGCCGCCCCCTTCCCTGACTCCATGGGCTGAGCTGGAAGTGCTTGGACACATCCATACCTCTCCTGGAGGAGCAAAGCCTCCCAAATCAGTGCGGAGCCACCTCTTCGGAGGCCTCAGCACCTGGCCCTGGGGATGCATCCTGTTTCAGAGTGAATTATTCTCTCTGTCACTTGATAGGTGTCAAGCCCAGCGCGATCCCTTGAGCTTCAGCCGGAGAGAGGGACCTTTCATGGGGCAGGTAAGGGGGACGGGGAGGAGGGGGAGCAGGTCTGTGCTAATAGCTCTGAACTTGGCTCAGGCCTCTTAATGGATGCAAATGAGCTTTTAGCTACTGGGTCACTCTGCGGTGTTTTGTGCAAAGGTTTTGTGCTCTTCACCGTAACTGTTCACGTGGCCGCCTTGAATGGCGAGGGGCACGGCTGAGGCTGAAAGGATGAGCAGGAACCTTCTCATACCAAAATGTTAACAACTTCCTCCCCACGCTGCTTGCCAGCTCTGGAGATCTGATATGGTTCCATCCAGGGCTCAAAAAAAACCCTTTGCAAAGTGGTTTTTCTCTTCTGGGGCCTCATCACTCTGGATATTTAATACGCATGGATGGATCTGCTCGCAAACAGGAGCAGAGGATGCAGAAGGGGGGCAATGCCACCCAGTTATCCTGTACTAGGATCCCCAGTTAGCCCAATGGGGCTCCCCACGAAGCACCTCATTATTGCTGAAGCTACTGATTTCTGTTCCCATCATAAACCCAGGCTATTATTTTATGTATTAAGATGGGCTTTGCCACCTTAAAAATACCTGAATGTAGATCACACTGGGTATGAATTTCTTTCCCTGGTTTTTAACTGGGAGCATGGATTGATTGTGGGGTTTTCCTTAAATGAAAACTGAATTCTGTAAGTGGAATAGGAAAATCTCCTTGTGACTCAGTGATCTAAATGGTGGTCTAGAGAAACCATCAGTTTCAGTAGATGGAAAATATCCAGAGCCAGGATCAGCCCACCTCATCCACGAGTGAAATACCAATTTATTCTGTTTTCTCTTAATCATAAGGCCACAGAAGAAGACTGGAGCTGTTGGAAACAGGATGAATCATTTTTGATAGAAAATGAGCCATGTTGCTTTCAGCTTTGCTCCACACGTCCTTAAGAGAAATGGGAAACTTCCCCAAACTTCCCAACCCAAACTTCCCAAAGCTAGAAGCACTAGTTGTGAAAAATGCTGGCTTCTTCCTCCTCGGCATCTTTCCTGTCTCACAAACTTCCCTCTCACTTTCTAGTCAGAGAGAGAAAAGTTGTCCCTTCTTGTTTTATTGGAAAAAAGTGGCAAAATGAAAATTAATTCATTCTGATGAGGGGAAAAGAGCTGGTTTATGGCTTATTATTATTATTATTGAAAAAATATTAAATATCAATTGTGCCTAACTAGGATGGTTAGGATGGTGTTATCCCTCCCCTATCCTGCTTTCCAGTGCTACCTTTTGTCCCCACGGCTGGGTGAGCTCCTCTGTCCCAGGGGCACCATCCTGCACCCATGTGCATCAGCTTTAGAGCAGGTTGCAAACCCAGGAGCTCTAAGTGGAGTTTCTACCTGAGGGTCCCCCTCTGTACCACCAGCAGGTCCTTGGGTGCTTCACCCCAAAGATCGCAGCAAAGGGGTGGCTCCATCCCACAACATCTTCCTTCTCTTTAAAGCCTGAAGGGCTGCAGGTGCTGCAGACTGAGAGATGCAGAGTTAGCAGGGGGGGGTCCCTCACTTAGTGTGCCCTAAATGCTGGTGCCCTAAACACTGGGTGCCCCAAACACCGGGTACATCCACCCTTAATATACCCTGACTGCCCTGCTGTGTGCAAGCTCTGGGGCTGGCTGCTACCCTCAGCTATTTGAGCCAGAAGAAAAGCCATTTAAAAAGGATATGGAGGGGAAAAGGGCTTTTTTGCAGATCCTTTAGGAAAGCATCTCCTCGGGGAGAACCCAGTGTGTCTCTGGAGGGCACTGTGTGCCCGGCACAAGCCGAGCCCTTCATTTTGGTGCTCGGGCAGACAATGAATCCCGCGCTGAACTTCCTCTCGTTTGAGGCTCGATGTGGTTTTCATTTGGGTCTTGTTTTGTTTTCTTTCTTTTCTTTTTCTCCCCTCCTTCTTCCCTATTTTTCCCAGCGGGATTGAATAAGTAGAGCAGGCAGGAGGGCATCGCCGTGGGTAGGTTAATGTGCACGTCGGCTCCAGCCCTTAAAATCATGAGCTGCTGTGTAAAAGCTGATGGTCTCTGCTCCTCTCTTTCCATGAATATTTTAAACTCTTTTTCAAAGGATTTTGGATGAGTTTGGGAGAGGAAGCAGGAGCAGGGAGGGGAAAGGGAAGCTGGTGGGAGGCTTTAGCATGGAGAGAAGGGTGAAAGTCCAGGATAATGGTATAAATCCCACCCCCCTTCATGTACATACTCAGCGGGGAAAACCTGGTCTTAGAAAGAGTTTCCCGATCAAACTTTGAATTGTTCCCACTCAGCGTGTCCTTGACGTTGCCTCCTCAGCAGTGTTTTGCATTAAAATCTCTGGGCTCTAAGTAGTGTTTCAGCAGCATCTTCAAAATCTCATCTCTTGAAAACATATACGTGCACACATGTACCCCTCACTCCCTCCTTCCTTCCCTCCCTTCCTCCCTCCCAGCCGGTCCCTGTCTCGGATTACCCTGGCATTTTCTGTTGAGATGAACGGAGAAACTTCACCGTAGTTTATTTTCCTTCAGAGCAGGGTAAGATGTTTCTCGTTATGCCTTTTTAATTCTCTAAAAGGCCGCATGGCATGTAGAATAATAGGGGCTGTATTCTTGCAATGATGCAAAAATCCTTCGCAGCCCACCCTTTCGAGTAATTAGCTGCTGCTCGCAGAAGACCCGGGCAGGGGAAAAGCCAGATGGTTTTCCAACAGGGCTGAGATTTGGGAAGATGGTTTTGCTGGTAGCAGAATAAAAAATAAGGAAGTTTGTTAGGGAAAAAAAAAGGAGAATAAATACCAGTCAGGGCTGGTGGGTTGGATATTCAAAGGCATTTAAACCAGATTTTTTAGGGCAATGTTTTGCAGAGATGCTATATAAAAGGAGAGAAAATAGAAAAGCATGGAAGTAATTTTAATAGTAGACACTCAGGTAAAGAATCTCTTCTTGGAGAGAAATTTCAAACCAGGAGACATAAAGGAAAGACTCTGGGTACCTGAGATAATTCATAATATAGAGAAAATATTGACAGATTGGAGAGCAAATGAGTTGCAGCCCTGCTCATCTAACCCAGCGAGGAACTTAAATCTTCTTATTTTCAGAAGCAAGGGGAGAAAACATGTGAAGTGTTCTTAATGGAGCATAAAAAAAGGCAACAGAAGCTCCAAATATTGTGTGCAGCCCCCAAGCAGGCTTCCATGGGAATGCCTGCCCAGGATTCGGGAAGCCCCAAAGGGCATCGAAGCATTTGGCCACTGGGTTTTGGTTTTGCAGAAGGGATGGTGGGATAGGATGGATTTTGGGGAGGCGAAAGGGGCTGAAAGTGACTACAAAATGCTGTTGCCATGTGGGGTGGCACCTGGGAGAAGAAACCTGAATGTGGATGGGGATAAAGCCATGGGTGGGATAACCCCAAAGGGGTGGAATAACCCCGAGGGACTGCATGGGTGATGCTGGAGCATCTTCCCAAGGGACCATCCAGAGCTCAGCCCCTATCAGAGTTAGACAAAAAGCTGCTTCTTGCTTTAAAAGCCGCTTCTTGCTTTAAAAGCTTTAAAAGATGTAAAAATAAAGGATTTGAGTGATCTTCTGTTTATTTTATTTGTGTATCTCTCCATAGCCATCCTCTAATAACGGCTGGAGCGGGACCAAGCCGCGTCTCTTTTCCTTGGGAGAAGGCAGATGCATAGAAAGTGGAATATCAAAATGATCTCGTTTCTGTCTCTCTTTGGTCTCATATTGAACAAAGGACAGATGGGAACAAGAAAGGAAGAAAAAAATCTCACCTGTTCCCATCCAGTCTTCGGGAGATCACAGTCATTATCTCGGCAGCTTCACGTTTCTAAAGGGGCTCCATTTTTCTTCTAAACACTGGCATCTTGTTAAAAAACATGCAAGAACCCCCCCATCCGAGTCCGCCACAAACCAAACGGCTTTTCCTTGCCTTTCCCTACCCTCCCCACAGCCTCAACTTTAACACCTGGGAAAGGAAAGTGGGAAGGGAACCCAACCAAAACACAAATAAAGGCCCCCCAGGCCTTGCTTTTCTCGATGGCGTTTCTCCATCTGACAAAAGGCTTTGGTTTTCTGTCATTCTTTTCATTTCCTTCATGGCTCCCCCAATTGTCAAAGCCTTCAAGAAAATGCACTTTAGCTCTTTGTCCCCAAATGTAATTTGATAAACTCTTTGCAGAAACATTCGGGTTTCGGAGGCTTTTCAAAAAGAAAAGAAAAAGATGGAAAAGAAAGAAGGAAAAAAAAAAAAAGAGCAGGAAGAAAATAGAAAAAAAAAAGAAGGAAAAAAAAGGAAAGAAAAAAAGTAGGAAGAAAAAAGTAGGAAGAAAAAAGTAGGAAAAAAGGAAGAGAAAAAGTAGGACGAAAATAGAAGGAAAAATGAAGAATAAAAAGAAAGAAAAAAGCAGGAAGAAAATAGAAGAAAAAAAAAGAAAGAAAAAAGAAAAAAAGGAGGAAGAAAATAAAAGAAGAAAAATAAATGAATGAATAAGAAAAAAAAAGGAGAAAGAAGAAAATAAAAAGAAAAGGGGGAAAGAGAAAGAGGAAAAGAGAATGAGAAAGAGAAATGAAAGGAAAAGGAAAATAAGAACCCCTTGAGCTGCTCCTACAAGGGGTGCAAGTGGGGGACACAATATTTGAGAGCCTATTTGAGCTTTTTAAATGGCAAAAATCAGGCTTTTTGGCAGCAGCAGCAGCAGGAGGATGGAGAAGAGGAAGGAACGGGATGGAGGGGGCCCAGCCAGCGCTGCGGGTGGCAGCTGGGGGGATTTGGGGCAGCATGGAGGAAGCTTTACATTGTCATCGTCCCCTAATGCTGATGAATCCTCATGTTGAAGCAGCAGCACCCTGTGGGCGGGGACCACCCCAGCTTTCACACTATAAAACACTCGGGGTTTCCCTGGAGTGGGGAGCGCTTCCCGGGATCTACGGCATCGGGGTGGCTCAAGTCAACTGGGACTCCAAGTTTGGTAAGTGGCAAAATAGCATGGATTTAAGTCTTATTTCCTCCCCCTCCTCAGTGGGAGCTGGTGGCTGAGCTGGGGGTCGAGTGCCAGGGAGCTGCACCCGATCGCTTATGGAATATCCGATCCCCTTCCCTCGCTCCCGTTGGGTTTCATGGAACCGCTTCTGCCCAAGGGGTTTGTTGTTGTTTTCTTTCATCTGCGGGGTGAAAAAACCAGTGATGACAACTCCAGAATTTCATTGCAGGGCTTTAAAGGAGCCGGGTTTGAAAAGAAATGTAAAAGCTTTAAACCAAAACAAAGCTTTAAACCAGAACAGGGGGCCTATTCCCAGGTGGGGAAGTGGTGGAACTCCGCTCCAAGCAGGGCAAGCGGCTGCCTCTGGAGGGAAAAATAAAGGGGGGGGGGAATAAAGGGGAGGGAGGGAGAATAGGGAAACTGATCCAGAACAAAAATTGAAATTGGAAATTTGGTTGCAAAAATTGCATTGCAGATCTGGTTGGAAAAATGACATTGCAAACTCGGTTGGAAATGTTAAATATCAGATTTGTGTGGGTTGTTTTTCCACCCCCCCCGTTCCCATTAATATCCTGGAAAGGTTTGTGTAAATGACAAAGGAGCAGGAGATGGGATTTCTTGGAAATGTGAAGCTTCCATATGTTGTGGGTGTCCGTGGAAGTGGCACAGCGTTCCCTGTGCGCTCCCCCGTACAGGTAGTTGAGCGGTTAGATGGGATGTTGTGCTCCATCACAGCAAAGTCACCAAATCAGCTATAAAAGTGATGTGAAGGGAAAGAATATCAGTGCCCACTAGAAATAAAGCACTTCCTACTAAAACCTGCCAACTTTTCTACTAAACCCCACTTTCTGACCTAAAAGAAGTAGGAATATTCGCACCTGGGAGTCCCTCCTCAACAGGGATATTCGGAGCAGCGTGTTAGCAGGGAAATCCCAGCTCAATAATTAAAGTTTTTTGATGAATTTGATATTTTTCAAGCAAATTTGTAAATTCAAATAGCAATAATGTCACTCACTGTGCTTGGTGCGAGGGCAGAGTGCTAAAACCAGTCTCTGAATGGTGATAATTACACTTGGGTATTTCCAGTTCCTCCCAATTCCCTGCCGGGTGGGTTTTGACTGTGATATGAACAGTTAAGAAAGGGATGGGATGTGAGCAAGCATTTCCCAGGAAGAAAAAGAAAAGGGAATTTCAGAAGCTACATTTTTCTAGGAGCTGCAGGGAGAGCATAGCCCACTTTGGGGATGCAAATCCATTAAATCTAGGAAAGGATGTTTGGTGCTCATAGAGCAGCATCAGTGAGCGGGAGAGGCCGGAGGGAGCTTCTCCTGCAGCAGGTTCCCTCCTTGCACTGAGTTTTCCTGCTTTTCCTGGCATGGGAATAAGCAGGAAAGTTCCTGATCCTGATTGTGCTGGGAAATTGGTCCTTATGGGGAAAGCGGGATGTGGCAGCCAGTAGCATTGAGCCCCAAAACCCGCTGCTGCTTTCGTGCCCAGCTGCATCCTGGGGTGATGAGTTCCTGATGGAAGCCGCATCCATCACTGGAATGCTCCTTGGGATTTGTTGTATCAAACCTGTTGCCTGCTGGTGCCATCACCCTTTTCCTCCTCATGGATTATTGCTCCCCTGTTGCCTTCTCCACCCTGTTTGCAATTTCACAGGCTATTGGCTTTATTTGTGGATATTGATAACATTATCCAAGATCACGGTAAAAGTTGGGAGTAGTTGGACTTTGGAAAAGCAATTCTTCTTCTGGATTCTCATGAGTTTATCTTCAGTGGGCAAAAGCCTGAAGGGAAAGAAACCCCTTAAAAAAAAAAAACCCACAAGTATTTTTTAGGCTTTCCCTTATTTCTTAAGATTATCCTTGAATTTCTGCCAGTGGCAAAAGGAGCAGATTCTTACGGAATTATGTGCTGGTGGCTGATTTCTGCCCATCTCCAGCCCCTCAAAGGGGCATTTTCACACACTTGGAAAGCAGCAGGAGACATTGCAGGCCATGAGCCCTGTTCACATGTGGCACTGCTTTGGAGAGGCTGAGAGCATCTCAGGGGTGTTTTTCCCTAGAGAAAGGAAGTAGGAGAGTAAGGTGGAGAAGGCCTCCCTTTCCACTGGGCCCATCCATGGTTGTCCCCACGGTTTGGGGGCTCCCAGGTTGTTTTTGGTGGCAGGCACTGCTGTGGGAAGCTGTTGGGGATGGATGTTAAGAGAGCTGGGGTGGGTCAGCCTGGAGAAGAGAAGGCTCCTGAAGGGGAGACCTTAGAGCAGCTCCAGTGCCTAAAGGGGCTGCAGGAAAGCTGGAGAGGGGCTTGGGACAAGGGCCTGTAGGGACAGGCCAAGGGGAATGGCTTGAACCTGCCCGAGGGGAGACTGAGCTGAGCTCTTAGGCAGAAGCTCTTCCCTGTGAGGGTGCTGAGGCGCTGGCACAGGGTGCCCAGAGAAGCTGTGGCTGCCCCATCCCTGGCAGTGTTCAAGGCCAGGTTGGACACAGGGGCTTGGAGCAAGCTGCTTCAGTGGAAGGGGTCCCTGCCCGTGGCAGGGGTTGGAGCTGGAGGAGCTTTAAGGTCCCTTCCAACACAAACCATCCTATGACCCTGTGTGCTTCTCCTGAATGTCTTTCCATGACCCTCATCCCCCAGGCCAGGTGTGGTGCTGAGCCCAGCACTGTGCTGGTTATCACTATCCCAGAAGATGTGTGATGTATGTGTCTCCCCTGCTGTATGCTGATCTAGGGTGACAAGGGGAGGGCGGCTGCTTGGGGTCACAGTGGAGTGTGGCAGGAGGAGTTTTGGAAAGTTACTTTGGGAAGGTGCTTGGTAATCATAGAATCATAGAATAGTTTGGGTTGGAAAGGACCTTAAGATCATCAAGTTCCAACCCCCCTGCCATGGGCAGGAACACCTCACTCTAAACCATACCACCCAAGGCCTCCTCCAGCCTGGCCTTGAACACTGCCAGGGATGGAGCAATGGTGTAAGGCTCTTTGGGAAGCTGCTTTTGGGACGCACTTCGATCAAGTGCTTTAGGAATGTGCTTTGGGAAGGTGTTTTGAGAAAGTATTTTAGGAAGGAGCTTCGAGAAGGTACTTTGCAAAGTTGTTTGGGAAGGGCCCTCGGGAACGTGCTTTGGGAAGGTGTTTTGGGAAGGGGCTTCAGGAGGGGTATTTTTTGCCAAGATGCTTTGGGAATGGGCTTCAGGAGGAAGCATCAGGAAGGTGTTTTGCCAAGATGCTTTGGGAAGGGGATGTGGGAAGGGACTTCAGGAAGGTGTTTTGTGAGGAGCCTGAAGAAGACGCTTTGGGAAGGTGTTTTGGGTAGATATTTCAGGGAGGAGCTTCGGGGGCGGGGGGGACATCCTGTAGGAATGTGCGGGTGCGGATCGGTGCGGGTTAGCGCGGTGCAGTGCGGAGCTCCGCCGCCACCTGCGCTCCGGCGCCTGCAGTACCGCCGGCGGCCACTGGGTGGGGCGCCAGGGCAAAGAGTGAGCGAAGGAGGCGGCGGGGGGGGCGCTGCCGGTGCGCTCCGGGGGAAGGGGTTGGGGGACTCCTGCACCGGGATGCACCGGGAAGGAGGGGAGCCCCCTGCACCGGAGGGAGCGTCATGAGCCTGGGGGGGTCCCACCATAAGGGGGCATGGTGGGAGGGGTCCCCCGGGAGGCACGGCAGTGAGCGGGGGTATAGGGTAGGGGGGGTTTCCCTCCATTGGGATGCACCGGTGGGGTGATTATGGTGGAAACACCCCTCACTGGGATACGCAGGGATGCAGTGTGTGTGAGGGGGGTCCCTGCACTGGGATAGACGGGGAGCAGGGCCCACGGGGATGCACAGGGGAGAGATGGGGGGGGGAGGGAGGGGATGGTTCCGTCCTGGGGCACCCAAAGAGGTGACTGGGGAGGAATGGCTGCACCCGGCCCGGGATGCTGCGGGGGGAATCCCGCATCCTGGGTCCAGCCCCGCACCGGGAAATGCGGGAAAAGGGATCGAGGCCAGGCTCCCCCCGGGGTCACCCCGAAGTAAAGGGAAAGGAGGGGGAACCCCTTGACTCCTCGGGAGCTGCAGTTTGGGGGGGGGGGGGAGATCAGTCCATCTCAGCGCTCTGCAGACCCAAGCCAGCTGGGGATGCTGGGGGGGGCTCGGGGCTGGTTGGGGTTGGGGTGGGGGGGGAGCAAAGGAGAAGAGGGGAAACTCAATGAACTTTTGTTTTTCCTGTAATCTGAAGCAAATGCTTTGCAAAAGTGCCTGTGAGCAGGCAGCCGGATACCTGCCCCTGCCTCCATCGCGGGGGGACAGGCTGGAAATGCACCCCTGGGGGTGCCCCAGCCTGGATCTCCCCTGTCCTGGAGAACACTGGTGAGGAAAAGGGAGAGGAGGCAGGCCAATCACCCCAATCCCCCAAATAATAGGGTGTGAGTGGCATCTAGCACCCCCTATAATAATGTGGGGGCAGAACGTAAATCACTGCAATGGTCAATGATCACCGGGAGCAAATAATTGCGGTAGGGATCAATGCAAGTAGGCAAGTAATTGGGGAGGGTTCATTGCAAGGGGCAGATCGTTGTAGAAGGGTAAATCACTGCAAGGAAGGAAGTAATGGGAGGGTAGCAAGGAGGGAAATGGGGTAAAGGAGTCAGAGTCATCATGGGGAGGGTGAAGTGTTGTAAGGAGCAAGTAATGAAGGGGGGATCAATAGAAAGAGTAAATTATTGGGGAGGGGAGGAGTCATTGTCTGGGGCAAATTGGGGGGTGTGTGTGGGGGTAAATAATTGCCTGGGGCTGATTATTGTAGGGGGTAAATCACTGAAAGGGGACAAACGTGGTCATTGAAGGAGGATGGGATACTGAGGGTCATTCTTGGGAATAAAAGAGGAATCCCTAAGGGTTAAACACTGGAGGGGGGTCACTGTAAGGGGGAAATAATTTTGGGGTGGATCTTGGGTGCGGGAATCGTTGCAAGGGAGGAAGTCATTTGGGGTTAAATACTGGGGGGATTATTGTAAGGGAGAGTCATCAAGGGTTAAATATAATGTAAGGATCATAGCAAAGGGGGGTTCATTGGGGTTTAAATATTGGGGGGACCGTCTCAGGGGGGAAATAATGAAGGGTTAAGTATTGGAGGGAGCATCACAAGGGGGGGGAATATGAAGAGTTAAATATTGAGGGATTGTTGCAGTGGGGGGAATCAGTAAGGATTAAATATTGGGGGCCCATAGCAAGAGTGGGGATCACCAACGAGGAGTGGGAATCATCGGGGGGGGGAATGATGAGGGGATCACTTCTCATCATTAAGGGTTAAATATTGGGGGGAGGGTGATTTGGGTATGGGATTGCTTTGGGGAAGGGGGAGGTTGATTTGGGAAGGGGTTTGTTTGAGGAATGGGAGGTTGATTTGGAGAAGTGGGGCTGATTTGGGAAGGGAGGCTTAGTTTGGGGAAGGGGGATTGATTTGGAGAGCGGGTGGGTTAGTTTGTGAAGGGGGAGATGTTGGAGAAGGGGGGTGAGCGCCGGCGCTGAGCCGCGCTTGTCTCTCCGCAGGCCGAAGGTACGGACGGCGGCGGCGGTGAAGGAGGAGGAGGAGGAGGATGAAGCCGCGGAGCGCGGCGTGACCGGGCTGCGGGCGGCGAGCCAGGGCTTCTCCTCGGCTCCGTTCGGCTCTGCTCCGCTCGGTTCGGCTCCGCTGAGCCCGGCTCGGCTCGGCTCGGCTCGACCCGCCTACCCCCGGAGCCCTCGGCGTGCGGTGGGTGTGCGGGGGGGAGCAGCCGAGCTGGCGGCCAGCCCAGCCCCGGCTTCCACGCCTCTATATAAACACCCGGGGACTTTCTCCGCCGCTCCTCAGTGCGAGGGGCCATGCCCGCCGCCCGCCTCCCGCACGGCCGGGGAAAGTCTGGGGCTGACACCGCGGCGTGCGGAGCCCCGCGCTCCCGTGTGTGCAGACAGGGACCCCCACCGGCCTGCCTCGCTCCCTGTGTGTAGATACATGTGTACAGCTACTCAGTTCTTGCAGCTCTCCAGGTCGTGGCTGAATTATTTCATCATTTTTTTAAGCTATTTTTCCTAAACCTCGCTTATTTTCTGTGATTTTTATTATTTTTTTTTTAAATCCTTATTTTTGCCCCCCTTCTGGTGTGTGTGGCTTTGCCTTGGAAGCGAGCAGGAGCCAGAGCATCTGCGCTTGGACTTTTTGGGGGGTCTTTTTTTCCCCCTTTTTCTTTTTTTTTTTTTTCTTCAGGGTTTTTAATTTTTATTTGCTGCCCTCACCCCTTATTTGGGGTCTCTTTTTCTCATCTCTTCCCCCTTCCCTTTGTTTTTCTTTTTCTCCCTTTTTCTTTTTATTTTCCCTTTCCCCCCTTTTCTTCTTTCCTTTTTATTCCCCCTTTTCTTACCCCCTTTTTTCCTTCCCTCTTTTTTCCTTTTTGTTTTCCCCTTTCCCCCTTTCCTTTTCCCCCTTTTCTTTTTCCTTTCCCCATTTTCTTCTTCCCTTTTTCTTTTTTCCTTTCTTTTCCTTTTCCCTCCTTTTTTCCTTTCTTTTCCTTTTCCCTCCTTTTTTCCCCCTTTCTTCCTCTATTTTCCTTTTTCTTTCCCCTTTCCCCCTTTTCCTTTACCCTCCCCCCTCCCCGTTCCTTATTGCGGGGTGTGCTTTTGCGCCCGTGTCACTCCATCAAGTTTATCCCAACCAAGAACAAACTTTTCAGAGAGGGACCGAGAAGAAACTCCTTTTTGCCACCACCCCCTCTATTTCCCCCCCTTTTCTCCCCCCTTTCCCCTGCTGTTTCCTGCCCTGCCAGCAGTGAGGGGGGCAGCGGGTGCATCCCCCCCCCCCTCCGCCCGGGACCCCCCAGGCAGCCCTCACCGTGCGCTCCGCGATCTCCCTCTTCCCGTGCGTGCGGGTGTGTGGGTGCGAGTGCGGTGCCTGTCAAGGGGCTGTTTCTCTCCCCACCCTCCTCCTCCTCCTTCTTCCAAATATGCTTTTTGCAAGTTTCGATCTCGTCTCGGCACTGGCTACCCTCGCGGCGTGCCTGGTGTCGCTGACTTTGCTGCTGGCCGTGTCCCAACAGCTGTGGCAGCTCCGCTGGGCTGCCACCCGCGACAAAACCTGCAAGCTACCAATCCCTAAAGGCTCCATGGGATTCCCTTTAATCGGAGAAACCTTCCACTGGCTCCTGCAGGTAAGGAGGATTCCCTTCCCTGCCTTCCCTTTCTCCCTTTTCCCCTTGGAAGGTGGGCTGGGATCGGCTTTAGTTCTTATTTTATAAGGCTTTTTTTCCTTCTTCTCCTCTCGATTGCATCATGCGGCGAGCCGGGGAGGTAGCAGGGGTTGTGGGGGGGGGTCATTGTGAGGGGTCACCCCGGAGGAGCCTGTCCCGGAGCGGCCGCCGCGCTCCGCTCCCCGCTGGGGCTGCGGGGGAAGCCGGGGAGCAGCGAGGGAAGCCGAGGGGTCTCCCCCGTGCTGCCCAAAACCTCCTTTCCCCTTCCCTTCGCAGCTTAAATCCTTGCCAAAAAGGAATGAATTGCAATAACGGCGGGGGTAGGAGGGACCCCCGGGGGTCCCCGCGTCCCGTCCTCATCCCGGGGGCTGCTCCCTTCGGGTTCGCACCCGCCCGGCTCGGGTCCGGTGCTGGGGGAAGCCCGCGGAGGTAATCGGTAGATTAACCCGGGATTAACCTTGCTAAATGCTGAACAGCGGCGGGCGGAGCGGGATCCCCCTCGGACCGCGCTGCGAGAGGGCGATCGGCGAGGAACAGAAAAGAGGGGAAAATAGAAAGAAATAACAAGAAAAGAGGCGGCGAGGGGTGCCCCGCGTTAGGGAGGGCGTGAGGGCCGGAATGGGGGCACCCCGGGGGCTCGCAGCATCCCGGGAGGGAACCCCCGAGGGTTTCCCACCTCCTCCTCCCAGTAAAGCAAACAGGAGCCTGGCGAGGATGCTCCCGCCGGCAAAGGTCGCGTTTCATTGACGGCACCGCCGAAGGGGACGGGCGGAACCCGAGGCCGCGAAGGGCAGCTCGGCCCCGGCTGCGAGGGCTGCGGTGTCCCGGTGTCCCTGTGTCCCGGTCCCCCGTCAAGGGGGATGCCCCGGAGCGTCGGCCCCTCTCCCCACCGCCCCTTTCCCTCCCCGTGGCGCTGAAGGGGTTAACAGCCCGCTCTCAATAGGGCTTTATTTTTTAAAGAAATTTATCAGATTTTTACAGGGGGACCAGAAAAGGGTTCTCGCTTTTCCACACGCTCCGTCCAAACAGAATCCAGCGCTAAAAATACAGAATTTTTTTGTATAAATTGGACTCCATTCGAAACTTCTCCCACATAAAGGTCCTCTTTGTGCTGCCCCTGGAAATGGTGTACAAATAACTCTTTATTAATGCCACAAAAAGGACTTTAATTATATTTACGCAGATCAAGAAACAGGGTCACCTGAACATCTAACATTCACAACCGCGCTTTTGTTTCAAAATAAACACACGCGTTCCCCGCCCGGCACCGGGGCTCCAGCGCTCGCAGCTATTCTCCCAGCTTGGGATAGAGGGGGAGGGATTTGGGGGACCCCCCCCCCCTTCCATAACCCTGCGGCTCCATCCACCTCCCCGCCGATAAAAACCTCCCGGAGCATGTGGGAAAGTTATTAAAGGCTCTTTAAATCTGGAGATTTACTTAGGCAAATTGCAGCCTTTCGAGTAAATTCGGGCTGGGAGAATTGGAATAAAAAGAAAAAAGAAAAAATAAGGAGGGCGGAGGAAAGGAAAAAGGGGGGGGGGGTAAGGGAAAATAAAAGGGAAAAGGGGAAAAAGGGGGAGGAGAGGTTAAAAAGAGGGAGAAAAGAAGGGGGGGTGAGGAGGTTTAAAAGTGCCAAGGGAGGTAAAGGTAGAAGTAAAAGGGAGGAGGAGGAAGGTGACAGAGAGCACCGACCCCTCCGGGAGGCGCGGGCAGCGTCGGGCGCCCCGTCGGAAGGAGCAGGGCGGGTGGGATGTCCGGGCTATCCCGTCCCCTCCACCATTTCCTTACCCGGGATACCCCCAAACCTCCATCTGCGGTCCCCCCATTATCTCCCTAAGCTTCACACGTAGCGATCCCCGTAACCCCTCCATCACCTCTCCCAGCTTCACCCGCGGGGATCCCCGCAACTCCCCCATTATCCCCTCCATAGCTTCTCCATGGGGATCCCCATAGCACCCCCCATCACCCCTCCAAGCTCTACCCGTGGGGATCCCCACGCGTGTTTGCTGTGCGGTAACACCCCGTCCACGCGCGTTTCTTCCCCCTCCCACCCCCGCAGGGCTCCTGCTTCCAGTCTTCCCGTCGGGAGAAGTACGGGAACGTTTTCAAGACGCACTTGCTGGGGCGGCCGCTGGTGCGTGTGACGGGCGCGGAAAACGTGCGGAAGATCTTGATGGGGGAGCACCACCTGGTGAGCACCGAGTGGCCGCGCAGCACCCGCATGCTGCTGGGGCCCAACACCGTGGCCAACTCCATCGGCGACATCCACCGCCACAAGAGGAAGGTGAGGGGCGCCCGCGAGTGACCGCGAGCGAGGGATGGTGATGGGGGACACACACAGGGCACGGGGTCGCGCCTGAAGGGGGGAACCCTTTCCCTTTATCCTCTCCATCCCATCCTCGTCTTTTCCCACCGCAGACCCCCCCCTCCACGTGCGTGAGAGGTCCCGCGTGGGTCCGTGCGCCCCCCTCCCCTTCTGTGTCCGCGCTCGATGCCTTTGAGGAATTTAAAAGGGCGATGATAGAATGGGGGGTCCCACATGAAGGGGTGCACCGCAGGGTGGAGCTGAGGATGGAGGTGCTGCCCTTCCCCTTCCTCCCCCATTAACCCCTCCACTATGCCCCCTGCAGCCGGTTACACGCGTTTTGGGTGCTGAGAAGTGAGCGTGGTCCCGCAGGGCTCTTAAAAGGGCGATGAAACCAGGAAGGAGCGGGGGGGGGGCTGTGAAATGGAATGAAGGGAGAGGTAACAAAGTTCGACCCCCCCATTTCCAGGCTCCGCCGATGTGGGTGCTGCAGAGAGACCCTGAGGGGTCCATGTTTGCTGTGGGGGTAATCCCATGGCGCTGAGCGCTGTATTGGATTTCAGGGATATTGGGGTGCTGATGGGTGGGACTGAGCTGGTTGTGGGGATCTGAGATCCTCCTGGGCCTTTGCCTTGTCACTCGGTGGTCCTGGGGTCAGTCTCTCCTTACAGCCCCCAAAGAAACCCCCAGGGGGTTGTTGAGGCCAAGCAGATGTGGGGGGTCCATCCCCATGTTCCTCCATCAGCAGCGGTGGTGGCAGAGTGGCAGCAGGGACAATGGCTTTCACATCCTATCCTCCATGGGGCAGGCTCTTCCCAAGCTGTGTGGGGTCAGGCAGTGGATTTGGGGTGAAGGCAGTGTTTCCCCCCATCGCTGTGGGGTGGAGATGGCATAACTGGCATAGAGCATGGCACCCAGCACCAAAAGGTGTTCCCTGTCTTTGCAATTACACTGCATTGCTTGGACTGCTTCTTGTTTTACCCTTAAGAAATGAGATATTTTTCCCAACTTTGTTGTCAAAGAGGAAGGCAGTAGTTCTTGGGGCTCCCCTCATCATGGAGCATAATCTGGGGCAGGAGTGGGGTAGGGATATGGGGAGCAATCTGCTTTCTTGCAGGGGGAGGAAGGCAGCAGCTTTGGCTCCTATTTACTCCCTATTAAGTGAGGGTTAAGCAGCAGCAAGCAGTGATTCGAAGGTGCCTCAAAGCTCCTTTCTGCTCCTTTTATCTTCTGCACAGCCAGATAATATTTTGCTACTGCAAAGCAGGCAGCTGAAGGCCTTCGGTTGCCATCGCCTTAATAAAACCACGGAATTCCGACCTCAGGAACAGGCACCGGGGGAGGCGAGGAGAGCGTGGGTGATGGGAACGGGGTCATGGAAAAGGGAGGCCTGACCTCTGTGGTATCCTGATGGACTTGTAATTTGTACCACAGCTCAGATGGGGAGTGCCAGCACTAGGAAAGGAGCAACACCAGCAGCGTAGAAAGGGAATAGCTTCTTTTCCTTGATATTTATAGTTCTCAGTTTAGTGTTTTTTCCAAGTGGGAAATATATGTCCCACCCTAACCTGTGAATCCCAATGCTTTTGCATTTTTCTAACTCCAAAGGCTGGTCTGGATTTCCATTCTCCTCCTCCTCAAAACCTTTTTACCTTCCCAATTTTTGGCATCATACATCATCCTAAGCTGGCAAGGATTCTAATTCCTGCCTAAGGGATGGCTAAAAGCCTCCTGAGAACAGGTACTCAGACAAAACACCATGCCAGGAGGAGCCTTGCTCCTGTTCACACACCTTCCCACTGCCTTGAGCCAGTTTACCTGTGAGCAAAGCCCTTTCCCTGGATAAGCTGCGCAGGATGCAAAAGTAGCTCATTATCTTTTAAGCTTTCTCTTTCATTGGTGTGAGGTTGGGTGCAGCTGATTCCCTTCCCTTTGAAAGCAGGAGGTTATTCCAATTCCTTCACCTGATCTCCTCTTAATTCCTGTTTTCATGGAGCTGAGCATCTTGTGCATCACACACCCTTGGGTGCTCCCTGGGCCTGGGAGCCCTTGTTTAAAAAGCATAAAGGAACTTTGGGAAGATCTTTCTGTGAATGGTTTTTTTTTGTACCTTTTTAGTCAAAATGTAGCTTTTTACTTAAAAGGTTCTTAATATACAGCTTTTTTTGGAGACTGTTTTGTTCTTACCCTTTTCCTCTTCGAAGTACACTAAGATGGCCCTTAGGGCCATGCCTTAGTGATGGACTTGGCAGTGTTACAGTTGGACTCGATGATCTTAAAGATCTTTTCCAACCTGACTGATTCTATGCTTCTATGCCTGTGCAAAGCACCCCTTGCCCTGCACTGAGTTGCGCATGCAGAGATAAGGAGAACCTGCTTCTAATGGGAAGAAAACAGATCATTTTGTTCTTGCTGAGATTACAATGACCAAATTAAAGCTTTTTCCAGGCCAGGTCCTTTGACCAGCCGGTGTCTTTGGAGTTCATTAGACCTGAGCTTTTGTTGTGTTAAATGATGTTGACTTTTAAGTCTCTCCACCCTGCTGGAAAGGTCCAAGGAGGAAGCACAAGGTTTAAGACTGAAGCTTGCTCCTTCTAGGCAGTTTTTGCTCTTGGACACCCGGTCTGCACTTCCTCTTGACCTGCTGGGGAGCTGAGCAAAGAACTTGTTGCAAAAGGCAACATTTTTCACAGAATTCACCAACTTTTGTAGTGAGGATATAATAGAAATAGTAAAAGAACTGGAGCAGTCTGAAAGTTCCATGTAGAAGAGCAGTAGTATTTCCTGAGAAACCTCGTAGGTTGTTGATAATTCAGTTTCAAGCATTGTGGGGCTTTCTGGAGCACCTCTCAAATCCTGTTTTCCACTTCATCTCTGAGCTCAAACCTTTGCTTGCTTGAGAAAGTGGTTCCTCCTTCTCTGTCCTTGCCAGAAATTGTACATCAGGTATAATGTCTCATGAAGCTGCTTGTGGCATAGGATGGCAGCCAACACAAGGAGAGGTGGAGTGTGAAACCTCACGGGCTCACCCTCTGCTGCGACTTCAACCATTGGGGTCATCTATAGCTCTTATTCCACAACAGGTCCTTGGTCATCACCTGCAGTAACTCCTGATCTTTCCAAAAGCCAGTGGAGTTGCATTTACAACAGTGCAGGCAGATAGTTTTACATCATTCCTAGGCAATGAAGCCATGGACCCCTCTTGATGGAACAGATTGCCACTGAGATATGAAGATAAGCTTTGTCAAAGAGCTTTATAACCAACATGTTCTTGCACAATGTTTCTGGTAGCTTGCCATTGAAATCAGCTGTTTTACTGGCCATGTGTTGTGAAGGTTTCCAAAGAGTTTTAGCTCTTCAGTGTAACTTCAAGACTGGCAAATTGTAGCTAACACCACTGGATCTGCTATAGGACATTGCCCATGAGTGATGGGATTGGAGACAGGTTGGCCAACTCAGTCTCTGGAGTGCTTGGGTTTGCTATCTCTTGTTTCCCTATCTCAGCTTTTCTTTGGGATCTTGTATGGATCCAATATCCTCCATCCCTGTGCTACGAGAAGCTTTAGGCCTGTAGGTTAAAGGACTCTGGGATGCTCAGGAGGAACAAAGCCATACTAACAAGCTATGGTAGCTCTCTGTTTTCCCGTCCCCTATTTATTAAAGCTCCCCTGCAGGAAGCTGTCAAAGGCAATATAAATTGGAGAAAACTTCCCCCTTTTGGGAAATGAACTCTCCAATTATTAGACAGTGTCTAAAGTCAATTTTGTGCAGGGATATGACTCCTTGTGGGGCAGGATGGAGGGTGAGAGCAGGCTGGGAGCAGGGCTTGCCTGCGTCAGGATATCACTTTATTGCAGATGTCATCAGCATTGGCTCTGTCCTTGGCCTGAGATGAAGCTGGTCGATAAGAACAGTTTACAAGGAGCAAACAAAAGGAACCCAAAACTCCTCAACCGCCCTCCTGAGATAAATATCTACTGAGAGGCTGTTACGGCTCTTGGGTTGTGGAGTTTATGTTGATGTCAGGGAAGGACCTGGGCCACCCCTGCTGCAGCTTGTTCCTCACAGAGGCATTTTGGTCTCAGAATCACCTTGCAGGCTACTGGCAGGAGCAGCCACGTTGCTCTCACATCCAGTTGAGCATGGGATGGTCTTCACTCTTTCTGGTGGCAGATTCTTGTCTCTCACCATCATGTGTAGGATGCACATCGCTCCCTTGGGCTCAGATATGACACATCTCAGGGGAAAGGAGTGCCTGCTCTCCTTTGGTATCCCATTGGAAGGGGTGACTGAGGATGGTGCCTGGCTTCTTGCTCCACTCAATCCTTTTTACACCTCACCTTACATCTGTCCTTATAGACAACTTCAATTCCCATTTCTACCTGTGAGCTCCCATTTCTACCCATGAAGCCGCAGTGAAATCAGTGCATTTGCTCCAGATTTGCCACATGTCTTCTGGAAGTGTCAGTATGACCTGTAATGAAGGGAAAGGAATTCTGCTCTTAGGCATGGTGATAGCATGTGCTCTGCTTTTATGGGATGTGAGGCCAGCGGGAAGCTGAACTATAGCAAGCAGAGAGGGAGGCAGCCCTGTGAGGGACCCCAGCATCTCAGTGGAGAAGGAAATGGGAACTGGAAACGGCCAGGATGCACAGCCCTTAGGTTTTAGGTTGAGACTGAGCAGCGCCTGGGGCCAGGAAGGAGTTTCCCTGTGCAGGATATGCGCTACAGTGCACGGGGAAGGTGGGACTCAGACTTTCCTCGGAAGCATCCAGCCTTGGCAGGAGAGTGCTGGACTTGCCGGGCTCGTGCTCTGTTCCAGCATAGTAATCCCAAAATAGGCACAGCTGGCTTAAAAAAGGAATAAAAGCAGTCCGTGGGCTGGGTAGACATCCTAGACCCGGAGACTCGAGGAGGAAGCAGACAGTGGTGCAGAGAAACGGCCTGTTTTGTCTCACTGTCCAAAACTACATCATTCA